CCAGACGGGGTGTGTTTTGTGACGTAAGAGGTTAGACGAAAAGCAAGAATTGTTATGGAAAGATCAGAAATGTTCTCACAGACAGAGAGAGTTTTGTTTTGGCGCGTTTCAGAAACAGGTGCCAAAACTTCTATATTTACGTCTGAGAGGATTCTAAAAACATGACAGTTTTAACATAACAACTTGTTTTGCGTTTGACTCCAACCTTGGACCAACTTACACTTGCTCATTCAAAAGCAGAAATCAGAAAAGGCATAATTACCCTGTAACAGCTTTGACATGAGAATAAAAATCATTACTCAGTTAATAAAATTGATTAGTTCACTGCAACATCTAAAATGGTTTGAACTAAGACATTTTGATTATCAACATTTGAAAAATAGTAATGATAATAAAACAGAGAGTGTTCTTTTCACTTGAATCTTCAAGAGAGAAAGTCTCAGGATGGGTGAACCTGTATTTCTGAGTTCAAATCAATGAAATGACAGTTCCTGTCCCACAAGGTTCTAAAGGTCAAGAGTTTTGACCTAAGACTCAGTTTTGACATAGGCCTAGTCCACTACAAGAGCGAGCCCCATAACTCTTGACAGAATAATCCACACGGTGCCTTAATTTCACCAGAACCCCCGCAGGCTTCCCACGACGTCTGCAACATTTCCTCCAGGGAGAAAGGCCAGGGTCACATAGAAGAAATGCATAAATCTCAGACAGAACAGGTGGAGGAGAGTGCTGACTGCTGTACAAAAATTCCGCAGGCATTTCAGCAAATGCACGGAGCTCCAAAAGTGCCCAACAATCATACTGTAAATATGATTCGGTACACTGCACAAAGCATTGTAAAAATAACAAAAATAGAAGAAAAACAGAGAGTGAGGGACAGCAAGCCCTACACACCGGCGCCATCTTGGGAAAAAAAAAACACCTGATAAACTGATTTAAAAAAATTCCCTGATAAACAGTATGCAGGAAGTCTAAAAAAGTTAAATCTGGTCCTCTGGACATTAAAAAACAACTGGGCCTAACTGGGCCTTCCTGAAAGCAGAGAAGAAAGCCAAACAGGACTCCAGTCAGCCATCAGGTGAAAAGGAGGAACCCAGACCAGTGGTCATTCCATATGCTGCGGGAGTATCAGAGAAACTGAGACGTTTATTTTCTAAACATAACGTCCCAGTGGCTTTTAAACCCCAAAATACATTACGGCAAAGACTGGTTCATCCCAAAGATCCAGTCCCCCAGCACAAACAGAGTAATGTTGTGTATGCTGTTCAGTGTCAGGAGGGCTGTGATCAGTCTTACATCGGGGAAACAAAACAGCCACTGGCCAAAAGGATGGCCCAGCACAGAAGATCAACATCATCAGGCCAGGGGTGGAGGCCTCCATGTTATTGCTAGTATCACTCAGCCCCCTGTGAATAACAAACATCCATCAGTGTGCTAATGAGCCATTGTTAGGCTGATGGTCCTCCTTGATCATGTGAGCAGCTGGTTTTGGTTGTCAGCAACAAACTGGTTGATCCACTACAAGAAGGTGCTATTTAAGAGACTGAGCTGAAAACAGCACCTCAGACTGAAGAAGTCTTTCGGATGAAAGACGAAACATTTCTACAATTTTTTTGTTTTGTTTTGTTTTTTGTTAATGTCCAGAGGACCAGATTTAACTTTTTTAGATTTTTCTACCTGGATTATTTAGCATACATCAGGATGTATGCAGGAAGACACTTGAGCTGTTTTTGGAGTGTTATTAATCTCAGATTCAGACTTTTGGAATTCGAAAAGGATTTTTTGCTTAAAGCCAATCGCACATAGGCATCGCAACCATTATATGTGAAGGGGACAAGTCCCCCCCACATTAAAAAAACATTAATTTGGAACCCCCACTTTTACTATGAAGCATTAGTTCAGGCAGAGGAGTTTCTCTTTCCTTGTGAACAAATCCATTCCACTTGATTAATAGGAGAACACTCAAACCACTAAAACTCCACTCCAGGTTTTCCTGGTTACTTCCAACTTTAAACACAGCACCCTGTTGCCACGGTCACAATATACGGTGGTTACAGAATATGGTGTAACACCTGCAGTGTTTCTGTGCGTCTCCTGCTTTGGCAGAAAACGCGCACAGGTGGAGGAGATGGAGACACCTCTGTGTTGCTCGCTCGACAGTTTAGCGAGCTTTGTGCGGGCAGTTGTTGACCGGGGGCGGGGTTGATCATCAACATATATTCATGTTAGGAGGATGTTTGAGAGGAGCGCTACATCTGTATCTTAGCTCAGCAGTAACTGTGACGCTGTAAGACGCTGCAGGTGTAAGAGACGCTGTGTGTTGAGGTGCATTAAAGTTGAAATGTCTTTAAAACCCCACACCTTATTGTCCTCAAGCTTCATGAGAAACATCATTTAGATGAGTAGTGTTGAACATAAGTAAAAAAGTCCAGTGGTGATGATTTTTATTTAGTGCCGACCTGACGCTCTTTATTAAAGTGTATTAAAGTTCAAATGTCTTTAAAACCCACAGCTGAATTTACACAAACTTGGTGAGAAACATGTTTTGAATGTGTGGAATTAAAGGAAATCTAGGTGAAATGTTGCTTTTTTTGTACACTGGTGAACACTTTTTTTTAACGCGCGCGTGCACACACTCCTACGCACATAATTGTGTCCCCCCCAGATTACGGATGCTTCTGACGCCCTTGCAATTGCATGATAAAGGAACTGTTGTGTTGCCTCATTTTCTTTCTGTTTGTACTGATCAACTCTTGGAACAGTTCTGTGCTATTCCTTTCTCCAAGATGTGACTGTAGGAATCCTGTTAACTCAGCAACTGTCATGTTATCTTTGTTAACTAACATGTCCTTGAAATCTCCCGGTTTGATGATTTTTAGCACACTCCTTACAATCTCAGATTCTGGGAATTTGTCCTTTACACTCTCCTCTATCTGCCTGCACACACTGTTGTAGCTGATATCTGATGTGTGATCTCCTATTTGGCCTCTTTGAACCTTAAACTCACGTCTTGGAATGTAAGGTAGGTCTTTGAGGGAAACTACAGGGCTGGGAGGAGGTCTAGCGCTCCCTTGTGAGGGCTGGATTTCTTGAGCTTGTTGTATTGCAGGGGTTTTTACTGTCTTTCAATATCTTACTTTTGTCCATTAATGTTTGAGCTGTATTGGACTGGCTGGACTCAAAGGACGGGGGTGGTGCGTGGTCTAGTGCTGATTTTTCCGCATTTGTCTCCACAGCACCAGTTAGATTGCTGGTGGGATGTAGATCATCTACCATGTCCTTTAGCACTAATAACTCCCCCATCCCACGGTCTTCAGCTTCTAACATTACCTCACTGTACATGAATGAGTTGATGTACTCGAAGCTTCCTTCTGCGTCCTCACATGACAGCTTTGAGGGATCCTTGCCTGTTACTGGACCCATTTTTGAAGCAATTTGGAAGAGTTGTTCCAATGTTAGTGCGAACAGGCCCTTCCTGATGTCCCACACCAGGCTCTTCCTTTCGCTGTCTGCCATGATGTCCTCCTCGTTGCTCTACGATGGTTGATTCAATGCTGGATCTCCTCTTGCGGTGAGTAGCAGCTTCTCCGCTTTACATCAGTTCTGCTTGGAGCGTTAACTCTGTAGCAGGTTTTTATAGATGTGTGAGGATCTGCTCCATTGGTTATGTGGAACCAATCCCATACGGGCCACCAAGAATCTGTAACAGACCCAGGATCTGAGCCTGTTAAACAGATAAAATGTTCCTGTAAAATGCAGGGAAATGATGAGACAGGCGACTGGTGACGTTTCTCAATGCCTTGCTTCTGCCACATTGGAGAGGGAAGGCCTATGACCGAGCTAGACTGTCTCACAGCACAATGTGCCACCTTGTGGCCTGGGGATGACTTTTTCTCTCCTTTAAACCAACACAAATACTTAATATGAATACACATTAGTGTGTCACACATACTCCTGTGAGAAAAAGTATGGTCCAGGACTTTTGTCAATAAGAAGCAGGCAAAACTACTCTGAGAACACAATGACATGATTTTCGTCAAGCAACTACCAGTACATTATGTTTTTTTGGTTAGTTTTTTTTTTTTTTGGGTAGCTTCTCTATACAAATAAAAAAGTTCAGCCAATAAATAATGGATAAACTATGCTTCCCTCTGAGACAGGGCCTTTGTAATTTTGGCAGTATAGCAGAAGTATAAACAGGGAGACATGGAGAACATTACACAGATCATAAGGTCAACCTTTGCTGTCTGCCACTCAGACATTTCTTTAACTTTCTAAATGTTTAGTTTTCCAGTTGTATAAATTTGTGCATTTTATTTGTGTACCGCTTAAAGCTCCACTCTTGCAGTTTCCACTCGGGCGTTACGTTCAGGAAAAGCAGGATTCCTCTGTTTCATTTTGTGTCAACACTAATCCACATCTGATAACTGAATGCTCACGAACAAATTAGTCATGAGTTCTCAAAGAATTAGACGACGTATGATTCAGCAAATTAAGACATTTTCGAGATAAAGACGTTCACAGTTTTTTTCACTCTGAAGACCAAACCTGAATATTTCATTTCATCCAGTTATTTAAATAATCCTTTAAACCTTCTTTATTATGAGACAGTAGTCAAGTTAGTCACCTTATATTTTTACTATTACTGTATATAATGGTTTTATGTCACATAAAAAGGCTGAAAATTATACATATTCTACTAAAATTGCATAATAATCATGCCCTAAGAAGCTATGCAGAACAGACCAGTGAGAAACACAGAGGTGTACATCTAAAGGAATCTGTGTAATTTCCCAGAACAGAAGGAAAAGAACATAACGTTGCGACAGTATGACTACACAGCATGTGATCCTATATTACAACCTGACAGGAAGTCCTGTGCAAGACGTGTCTATAAAAAAGGTGTGGTTACAACTTTATTGCTCTGCACAGAGTATTTCTGTTCAAGAGTAATGCAGAGACTTAAAGTCTAACAGAGACTCTCAAAGACTCAGAGCTCGCCTGCAGCAGTGAAGAGAAGCCATGGATGGAGGGGGGGAGCGTAACAGGGCTGTGGTGATGTCTGTGGCCTCCTTTGACTACGGAGTACCCCTGGGAAATAGGAATGGAGCCAAGAGGGACGCTAAGAAGCTCCACAGCACTCTCAGCAAGCTGGGCTTTAAGGTAGACGTGCACAATGATCTGCGCAGCGAGGAGATCTACGAGCTCTTCCTCCAAGGTAACAGCTTGTTCTGAAAACATTGCTGCTTCTTGACATCCATTTATGCATGTATGACAACTGGTTTGTGTATTTCTAAGAGGCTTGAATACTGCTATTATTTGATTTTAAGTCTTCTCAAGCCCACTGACGGGCTTTTCCCACCCACAGTGAGGTTCTGACCTTAAATTAGGAAAAAATTAGGAAGGCAGCTCAACATGAACAATTTAATAATTGCTCTATTTGCATTTTTAATGCTTTGGTTTTGTCCTGATTCGATTCAGCCTAAGGAGAGCGCTCTTACAGAGAGTTTGTGTTATCAGCTTTGCACTCTGTACGGGTCTAAAACAATTAATATGTGTACAGACCTGAGCAACATGCCAGTTCATTTTATTTACTTTACAGTTTGTTGACTGATGTCAACATTTTCAAGTCAATGTGCCAACAAACTGGGTAACACCCCGAAACCAAACCACCTCTTCAAACAAAGAAGAGGATAAAGGAGGGTCATACAGATCCTTCTGGAAGGTCAAATGCATTGATTTGCAAATTTAAGTTTGAGGACAAGTCAGAGGTCCTAAAACTTCAGGGCCCACTGCTGCTCAATCCTTAACATCTCGAGCGAATCACACACAAATGTATGTCGAAGAACTCCACTAGTTTTTCTTTGATTGACTTAGATATTGCATGCAGCTCCAAAACTTTACAAGTACAAAAAGAAAAGTCTGAAACATAAAATAAACAATAAATGGAGTTTTATTTCTATAACGTGAGGCAAAAATAAACAGAAGACTGATAAATTTTCAACAGTCAGTGTATTAGACAGGAATTTATCATATTATCATGAGTCACATTCATGGGATTTGTGCAGGTGTTCTTTGATGTCCAATGTCATATCAGGTGTTTTTAATTAATTTATTTGACCTAAAAATGACATAAATATAACATTATACAATATTTACATTGAATTATTTGGTGATTTACAAAAACAAATAGCAGCAGCAGTAGCTAGCTGTAACATTTATGTCAGGAATTTCCTTAAAATTTCTGTTTAAATATCCATTTAATGTAAAACTGACAGTAATATAACTTTTTTTTTTTTTTAAATCATGAACCACTATGAAATTTTGAGGACTCGGTTCTTTTAAGATGACAAAATCTGTTATTAATTTTTCCATGTCGGTCAAGTAAACTGGCTTCCAAAGCAGTCTTTGCTGTTTTAAAAGTCCAGTTTTGAATATTTCATAATGGTTCATGAAAATATTTTGTCAGTAACTGTGTAACACACTGTTGTACGTAGAGTTTGCATTAAAGTTTAGAGAATTTCCCTAAACTGAGGCTGTTCAAAAAGCAATTTTAACTGTTTATAACCTTGCTGACGAGTTTTAAAATGCCCCAAATATCCCTTATTTTACACTTTACATCCTCATGCTCTTCAGAATGAAAACTAGGTGGATTAAGATTTTAAATTATATGTTTTTGTCAGCCTCTGTTTTTTCAGTGCAACTTGAATTGCACATTAAATCTTAAAGATGCTATAACACCTCTGTTTGTGGCACAGGTGTGT